TGGAAAAAAAAACAATAACTACGGCTCCGGTGTCAAAGCAACCAGACATTGAAGCAGAGAGCGAGATGATAGTAGACCGCTCTTCATTTGCACAGAAGTCTCGACATGTAGGCTAGGCGAGAAGGGAGAGAATAAGCAGATCATCCCATCTTCTTCGCATTCAAGAGCATGAGTAAAGCGGAGTGGAGGTACAGACCTAAAAGTGCTGGCGGTTGCTTTTGCGGGTAGAGGGTTTCACATGTTCATTTACGGCCTTCCAACGATTGTAATAACTGCCGCTGACAGCGTTATTTAAAGGCAGTGCCCGCGTTCAAATTGATGAGTTATTGGGCTCAGATAGTGACAACAAGGTAGCGAGTAGTTCATTACTGAAGAAAAATCATCAGATATGCTCTATATAGGACCCCACGCCGAGCTGAGGTTGTACGTGCTCAAGGCGAAGAGAAGGCGCGGCCGCACGAGTTCTCACTTGTTGGTATCAGCTGTTTTCCCTTATCACCTCACTCTCACCATTCGAAGCGGAGAGAGTTGGTTGCGGAACAACCGCACCATCAGGCAACCATTAGAAATGAAGTTGGGCGTAGTGGTCGCCAGGTGGGCGGGGTGGCCGACTCTTCACGAGCGGGCGCCGCTATTCTCTCGCATTTTTGAGTTGCGAAACTAGTACGTCCACCATCCTCATAGGGTGAGCTACGATATCCAAAGAGGGCGTGGAAACAACAAATGAACGCGGGCGCTGCCTTTAAGCGCAGCAACGTGTGGGAAGAATATTAAGATGGTCCCTTGAGCTGCAGAGGGCCAACCCTTGAAATTCACTATGTCAAGGGAAGAGCGAATGTGGTGGCCGATGCCCTCAGTAGAGTATGTATGTATAATAGTAGGATTGTTGGTGCAGGCTTTGTACATATGTGATATTTGTAGACCTGAAGAAGGGCTTAAGGCCCGAAACGTCGCCGAGAAATAAAAGACTTAGAAGAGTTTCATTCCATCAACCCAGAAGAAGACTTACAATATAATGAAGCTCAGGAATCCTTTGATATTACATGAGTATCTATGTCAGTTGCATCAGAGTCCCTTGTAGGGTTGAACGAAGCGGTGGTCAACTCGGTCACGGCAAGAGAGGACTCGCAATGGCTGAAAGAGTTAAAGGCAATTCCCGCGACCACACTTCATAGGTAATACAGTTCAAAAATAGAATTGCCCTGTGATTGTTGACTTATTGAAGGGAAGGAACCACGAAAAAGCGCCCGCAATAAGACCCTCTTTATTTCAATCATGATCACCGGACGAGC